GTGGTGACTAAGGGAAGTGGTGACTTGGAGAAGTGGTGACTAAGGGAAGTGGTGACGAAGGGAAGTGGTGGCTAAGGGAAGTGGTGAGTAAGGGAAGTGGTGACTAAGGGAAGTGGTGACTTTGAGAAGTGGTGACTAAGGGAAGTGGTGACTTGGGGAAGTGGTGGCTAAGGGAAGTGGTGACTTGGGGAAGTGGTGGCTAAGGGAAGTGGTGAGTAAGGGAAGTGGTGACTAAGGGAAGTGGTGACTTTGAGAAGTGGTGACTAAGGGAAGTGGTGACTTGGGGAAGTCGTGGCTAAGGGAAGTGGTGACTTGGGGAAGTGGTGGCTAAGGGAAGTGGTGACGAAGGGAAGTAGCGACTAAGGGAAGTGGTGACTTAGAGAAGTGGTGACTAAGGAAAGTGGTGACTTAAGGAAGTGGCTAAGGGAAGTGGTGACGAAGGGAAGTGGTGACTAAGGGAAGTGGTGACTTAAGGAAGTAGTGACTAAGGGAAGTGGTGACGAAGGGAAGTGGTGGCTAAGGGAAGTGGTGACGAAGGGAAGTAGTGACTAAGGGAAGTGGTGACTTAGAGAAGTGGTGACTAAGGGAAGTGGTGACTAAGGGAAGTGGTGACTTAGGGAAGTGGTGGCTAAGGGAAGTGGTGACGAAGGGAAGTGGTGACTAAGGGAAGTGGTGACTTAAGGAAGTAGTGACTAAGGGAAGTGGTGACGAAGGGAAGTGGTGGCTAAGGGAAGTGGTGACGAAGGGAAGTAGTGACTAAGGGAAGTGGTGACTTAGAGAAGTGGTGACTAAGGGAAGTGGTGACTTAAGGAAGTGGTGACTAAGGGAAGTGATGACTTAGAGAAGTGGTGACTAAGGGAAGTGGTGACTTAGAGAAGTGGTGACTAAGGGAAGTGGTGACTTAAGGAAGTAGTGACTAATGGAAGTGTTGACTTAGGGAAGTGATGGCTAAGGGAAGTGGTGAGTAAGGGAAGTGGTGACTAAGGGAAGTGGTGACTTAAGGAAGTAGTGACTAAGGGAAGTGTTGACTTAGGGAAGTGGTGGCTAAGGGAAGTGGTGAGTAAGGGAAGTGGTGATTTAGGGATACATGCGGGTTTGCCATGTGATGATGCAAAACGCTTTGTAATGGCTGCGTGAATGTTGCATGGCGTTGTTCTGGAGCTACTGCCTAACGTCGCTCCTTGCTGGTTGCTCTGGCCTCTTGCTTTCTTCTTCTGTCTCTTCCTTCCTCTTCCCCCGTTTCTCTTCCTGCCTCGCCTCTTGCTTCTTCCTCTTGCAGCTGGCTTTGTTCTGGCTTCTTGCTCTTGCTCCTTGTGCGAGCTGCCTTCTCGCTTCTTTTGCTGTCTTTTCTTCTCTTGCCTCCTGCTTCTTGTTCTTGCTTTTGTCCTTCTGTTCCTTCTTGCTAGCATCACTCCGAAACAGCATGCCCGTGGCTTGTCTGACACGAAGCATTTGTTCAAGGCAACATAGGGATCCCATCAGGGAATTGACAACCGTTGACAACTCCAAGAAAAGGATTGCATCTGGCTCACAGCGGGGTGTTTGTTGACAAGTACTTAGGAATTGGGAGTCAAACAGACACATATGGATTGTGATTGTGTATGCTTCATCAGCCAAAAAGGAAGTATGGTTGGACGTATTGAATGTATGCCATCGATTTTTCCTACCTCTTGGATTGTTGTTGAAACTGATTGAACATGTACGTAGCCCTGCGAACCGCAAAAAACGTAGAGACCGGAAGGGCCGGCCATGGAATGAACTTTGTCCGATTTGCCGCTATTGGTCATGCTTTCGCAGGTATATTGTGCTCCGTTGCTCGCGTTTGAGCCTTTGTTGATCGATCCTCTCTTCACCAGAATCTTGGCTGAGCGCCTCGATTTGCGGAATTTCGGATAGAATCAACGGGCTGACTTTAGAGTCTGCCTGTTTTGAAGCAGAGGAAGAGTGAAACAGAAAGATCTGAATCTGTTTAAAATTGGCCGTTCCAACGTATGTGGCGAAGTCCAGTGTTTCAGTCCCTGCGTTCACCTTCCCGCCCCAAGGGTCAATCAAAACTTGTTGGGTTCCATGAATCCACCAGCGGCTTAGTGGAAATATTCTTTGGAACTTTTCCCATCCCTTCCCAAAGAACAGGTACAAAATGAAAGGAACAGAACTGATGCACTTTGCAAAAGGCTGGGAGAGGTGGAAACTATTGGAACTTTTGCCTTTGCTGCGAATCCTGGGTGGTTTGGTAGCATCGCAGCATCGCAGGAAAGTTGAGTGGTGCATTTTGAAAACTCGTTCCCGTTAGCATCATTAGCCAAGTTAGAAAGATATTCCTGCCGTGTGCATGTTCTCAGAGTTTCCGACGCAAAGAATTCTCAAAGGGAACTCGCTGACAATCTGCCATGAGGACTTGAAACGGCGACCTGATATGGACTTGCAGCTGTGCGAAGGAAGCGCCGTGATGGCAGATTCACCACTGTTTCACGTTGCAAATTCTTGTAGGTTTGTTGCTTGCTCCTTCCCCTCCCTTGTGAACAGTATAACTTCTAGGAGAAACGAATAGTTCTCCACGTTTTTGGAACCACAACATGGATTTCAACATGGTTTGGGAAAGCCTGAGCCAGCAGCTATGGGAGGATATCCCTTTGTTCACCTTTACTGAATTGTGATAGAATCTTTAGTTCCTCACAGAGCCAGGCAACAAACTTGGCCGCACACCAGAAGTATTTCTTGATACAGGGGTATTTGCAACTGCAGTCATGTGCTACTTTGGTTCCTTTGAGGAACCAGGCTCAGCGCTCCTTTCACACGTGGTTGCTTTTTCTCTTCTTAATTCATCCCCCACTGTCCAAACCCGCCAATTCTTGAGATGGATGACTGACGTTTGACATGTTGGGTTCCGAGTTTTGAGTGTGCGCTTTCAAGCTTGCATCATGGACTGGCACACGGGCTGATTGTAGTCTCAGCATCAAGGCCATCAGCCGCGATTTGCCAAAATCATCCAAGTGGACAAAACATCCAAAAACGAACTTAGCCACGGACACGTGCTCAGGCTGTGATTCCTGGCTCTTTTAGGACTGAGAAATAGCAGTGGTCACCTGCCGTGCGATATTTCTTGGAACTTTGCTCTCAGATGAAAGAGGCGGCTGGTAAAAAATCTTATGGCTTTTCGTGTAAGATCTCTATCAAACACAGAATCAAGCACTGAAATCAGGCCCTGATCTGGCATACATGGTTGGCCTGGAGCTTCAAAGGTAAACTAATTTCTGCTCTTGCATCATGGACTTTTGAAGCAGTCTCCAGCACCAGTCTCTGGATGAGTGGGCGAATTTAACAGATGTCCTGGGTCACCCAACACCTGGATCGATTGAGCCATCTGACGATAGCTAGTCGCACCAGTTGTGATCAGCCTGGGAACTCATCCCAGGCAAAATTGTCATATGGCTCATGTCATGCTTCAGTACTTTTGAAATCCACACATATCTCCATGTTTGAGCCATACCCGTCACAGCGAAGGAGGGACAGCAGGGTTGCGGCAGGGATACAGAGCTGTCGTGGTTGTCACAACAGAGCCTGGGGTACGCTGGGCATATCTTTCCGGCGATTCACTGTTTCAGCGCATCCAAACGATGGTAGATCGATGAGTTTTGGCAACTGAAAAGCGACCAACATCCAAGAATAGTTGAATAGTTGCGTTCGGCCTTTGAATCATTTTCAGCTAACTAGTCATTGCATTTTTGTTCCAGAACATGCAACTCCCAGGTGTAGCCGAAAAGGCCGGTGAAAAGTGCACTTCAGTCAGCGCCCGGCTGCGGGCTTCTACAACAGATAGCGAAGAACCAGCTGGATTCCAGTGGATTTTTGTTCCATGTTTGATTACTGGAGCGCCCCCTAGACTTGGATGAAAACGAGGCTAAAGAGCCAAGCTAAGAAGTTGCGGCGGAGGATTTGGATGTTCACTAGAACGGAGGGTTAGCGTGTTTTGCTACTGTCATTTTGGGCTCAAGTCTTTGCCCATTTTGATTGTTGGATACTGACGAAATCGTCACAATGCCCATTTGCAATTGGGCGCTCATATTAGGGCTAGTTTCCAGTGTAGGTTCCCCTTCTGTGTATGGCCTGCCATGGTACCTGGATGTCTTTCATGGGATGACTGGATCTAGGGAGGAAGAAATCACCAATGGGAAAGATCAACCCGAAGTATCAGAAGGTCAGTCCGATCCCACGAAGGAAAGTTCTCAATCTGGAATCCCGTTTGAAGGAATAGCCCATGTGTGGGGATACTCTGTCCTCCACTTTGATTTTCGTTCATGGATAGGCTCCTCATGGTTCAGCACACCAACAGCACCTGGAACCCTGAGCTCCTCAGGAGGGTGGGGATTGTACTTCTTGGATCAGCTGGGGGTGTGGACATGCGGAGATTTTTGGCCATGGGTTGCCAGATGTTTGTTAAGTGCCATCGTGGTTTTGGGAGCAATTTTGATTCTCTACTTGCTATTGGTTATCTGCCGGCCCTGTCAAGCTTTCTGCAAATGTTGCTGCAGACAGACCAGAGCAGTAGCCAAAGAGGTGGGGGAGCTCCTCCCCGAACTTAGACCTGGGGGCACATACGAAAGCTGGATATCCGTGGACCCGCCTCTAGCGGGGGCGTCGATTCCGAATTCTACCAACGAGGCGTCAAGGGTCGAGGTTCAGAAAGAAAACCCAATGACGTAGCTGTTGTGGTGAATGACCAAATAGCTCGCTTGAAGGTAGACGGGGATCATTGGGCACGTGTGGATCGATACGGGTTATGGGTTCGTCTCCGTGGAGTGAAGGGTTCCACGTCGAAAGCGCTTCGCCAAACGTTGGAACAGGAGGGGAAAATCCATCTCTGTCGCGAGCAGCGGTGTCCGCTTGAATTGCAACCAACACCCGGTCTACATTGCAAAGCTTACGCTTCGGTGGATGCCAATGGGCTGGTGGATTTGGGAGCTTATGCAGGGTGGTCCACCCGCAGGGTGATCGTCTTGATGGGTCGATGGCTACGTAGAATGGTGCGGGGGCTTAGTCTCTGCGTGTACTATCTGACGGGATGGTTCATTCTCAGACAACTCTGGGCAAAGCGGACGCCACCCAGAACCATAGTCGAAGGAGCCGTCGTCAGACCCTTGGATGCGGAATCTGAATCTGAAGTAGAGGTACAAGATGACCCTTGTGAGGCCGTATTAGTCGGTTTGGAACATGGAGGCAAACCGAGAGCATTGGCCACAGACCCATGTGCAGATCGGGCTATCGGAGAGCCGGTCCGGCTCCTGGAGAGGGACAGAGAACTCTCTGACGTCAAAAGGAGATCCTCCGTCAGGCTTTGCGACCATCATCGGCAGCTCTACGTGGCGGCATGTTCAAGCCGAAAATGCAGCGTGTTGGCTTGCTACGAACAGGTTGATGGTGCCAAACAGGGAGTTCCCCTCTGCAAGCACCACCTGACGGACCTTGGTGGTTGTGCTCGCCCTACCCGCAGGGTTAGCTGGACACATGAGAGAGATAGCTCCATTGCACGATCCGAGGCATCTATGTCCGAAGGAGAATGCCTCACCCCTGCACGAAGAAGCCGCCGGATCATCTTTGACGGCGCTGAACGACTTGGGCCCAGGGCTGCTTCGGCCGATCCTAGTGAATCCCAGAAGAAGATTGAAGGCAAGCTTGAGAAGGGCCCGTGCATGGTGCTCCTCAGACCAAAGTCATTACAAACCGCGGAGGCCCCACCCAGGTGGACTGCATGGTTGGGGCGCATCGAGGGGTTCGCCGAAGAAGGGCGCAGCCAGGAGCTGCTCGAAGTCCACATCCCTTCCTTGAAGCAAACGTGTGTGATCCACAGAAGGCTGTTGAAAGGGTCCCCTCGAGACAACGGGGCGGGTCGAATTAGTAAGCATTGGGTGCAGAAGTTCCTTCAGCATACCCATGACGAAGAAGTCGGCCAAGGGATATCGGTCTTGGTCGCGCGCCTGTCCGAAGACCAAGCAGCGGCCCTGAATGCCTGGGACGGTGAGGTGACGGATGAAGGAGCGAAGCCAAGTAAAGCCTGGCAGGGGAGACTCTACCGGGAGATCCTCCCACATGCTGATGCATATTTGCGTGAAGAAGCTGAGATGTCCGACGACTTTATGACACCGCCAAAGCCGAAAGTCGAGCTGGAAGAGGGTGCGGGACCGGCGATTCCACCCTTCCCAGACCTAGATGATTCAGATCGCCAGGGAAGAATGGAGGCGGCTCGAAGAGCTCTTGACCAGCACATTGAGGGAGAGATAGATTCCGAAGTGTTGCAGACCGTGGCCACTGCCTTCGACCTAGATCATGAGCAACTGGCTCAGTCGATGTATGCGAGGAATCACCGCCTTAGCTACTCGAAGCCAACGACACCACCAGGATTGGGAGCCGACCAAAGCGAAATGGAGTTTGCAAGAAGACCCGTGACGGCAACTATGCCAGGAGGAGTGACCGTAAAGCCAGCAGTCCCCCGGCCGGCGAATCCACTTCTGCCGAGGAGCTCCTCCTCAATCTCCCCGGTCCAGAGAGGTGGATTGTCGCTCTTTCCCAAGGGGTCAGGCGGTCGAAACAGTCTCGTGAAACCAGCATCGGAGCAGATGCCGGATGGCAGAGCAGGAGCCACGTTCGGAGAAGCCCTCGGAGACAGCACACAAGTCCAGAGCGCGGACCGCATCATTCACGCCATCGACGGTCTGAGAAGAGCACAGGATGACGACAAAAACCTCACGAAAGGGACCTTGAGTTCTATCAAAGAGGCGGAGAAGATGGACGTCTTCCTGGCACGAGGCTGTGGCACCCTGACCGTTGAACTCGCACCGGGAGTGTACGGGAAGGAACTTTTCCACGCGGGGAAAAGGGTGGCAAATCACGCTCGCCATATGCTGCACTTGATCAAATGGCCGGTGCTGATGACCAACAGGGTCCTACTTGGCATCGCTGGTCTGTGGTGGGGTGGCAAAGACACACGCAAGTGACTGCGTTACCGCTCGGTCCGAGCAGTTGGACAGTTGGAATCCGTCCTTCGACAACAAGATCGAAAATCGCATGAGACCACCAGGAGTCTTCAACACTTGGCTCAGGTACGCGGAAAACTCAGTTCGTGTGTTTGGATCCTGCTATGGTACAGAGCATATCCAAGAAAGGCTCGATTGTCTCCAAGCCCTGAAGGAGGCCCATGAAGAAGACGAGCATGCCTTCCCAGCTGCCTACTGCATCGAGCTCTTTGAGGAACTTGTCGCGGCTTGGTGCGAAGAACTGCGAGAAAGCAGAAGGAAACTCTGCTCTCTGCTGGGGACCGAAAATCCACGGCTTGAAGACCTGAAGCTGCTAGCTTTGGCGCCGGGAGCGGATGGGCAAGCAAACTTCCAGTTTCCAAGCATATGGGATCTGGGCGACCCGAACGGATATTACCAGACAGTTGTGGTACCCAGGCAGCAAAGGCAAATGTCGAGGCTGCTCCACAAGCAGCTGCACGACCACAACCTCAAGCAGAAGAAGACAGCTGGTCCAGCTGAAGATGAAGAGTCAAGGACAGGGAAAGCCCCAAAGCTTAACCTGAAAGACAAAGAGGCCGATGGATATGCGGGCGGCAGCATGAAATCAGCCTACCCAGCTGGAAAACGGCTTACACAAGGAGAAGCTTCACGGTCCGTGGAGCACGCACCTAAGGATCCCAAGACCAACAAACCTATCTGCTGGGATGCGGCCACACACATGGGATGCACAAGAGGCGACAAGTGCCAGCACGCGCACGAGCCTTTGCCGGGATTGGCCAAACTTGACTACACAGTTGCCATGCAGGTCATTCGAAGAGGAGGACTCAAAGGTGGGCCGAAAATCGATCCCAAAGAGGTCGACGGAAGGGTCGCTCAGCTGCGAACCCAGGCAGCGGCGGATAAGGCCGACAAGATCCAACCTAGCAAGAAAGCGAAAGTCAAGCCCAAGCCAAAGGCCAAAGCTGGGAAGGAAGCTGAGGGTAAAGCTGAAGAAGACAAGGTTGGGAACACCCAGTGGGTCGCACCTGAAGACTATGATATCCCTCTGACCCATCTCGAGACTGACTTGCAAGAGGCGGTTCAGGGCCCAGATGAGGGCTGGCTGCGAATACCCTCACAACCCACTGAGCAAGAAGCCGCTCCGGCTTGGGATGACCAGAGCCAAGAGGAGCGGGAAAGGCTGAAACGATGGAAGTCGCTGGAGGAGAAAGGGGTTCTGGCGGCCTTGGAGTCGCCCACGGATTATCTCAGGTCCCATGTGATTGCACGCGTGATGGCAGCACAAGATGAAGGATATGAACTGGAGCTGAACCGGTGTCTCGAAGATGCGGCAGAACATGGACATCCCGCGCTCTCTAAGGAAGCCGGACGTCAACTTGAGCTCCTCAAGCACGAGCCAAAAGCGGGTCACCAAGCGGATGTCGAATTTACGCCCATCACATGGGACGAGGGTATTGGTCATGGCCTGTTGAACTTTCAAGGAAACTTGTCGCATATCGGCTCAGTCACGGTCCGTGACTACCAGGATCGCTTGAACGCAAAAGACAGCGAGGTCCCACTGCAAGACGGGCAGTTGGAAGAAGAGCGCCAATGCCTGCCTCTTCATGTGGGTGTCGGGTTAGCGTTGGCCGATGATCCATCTGTAGAACTACGAGAGGCCGTAGCCAGAGCCAACCAGTTGAGAAAACATCTCTGGGATGAAGCAGTGGAGGCTCACGCACACCTTGGCGATCCGCCAGCGTGGATACCTGAGGGCGAGCACTTCTCGCGTCAAAACGTCCATGATTGCCTCTTTCCTCACCACGAGAAAGACTACCGCGCCTTGCAAACCCTCACAGGATCCATGCTGCAAGGATACACGTTGGCGGTCCTCAGGATTTCCTATTTTGGTCGGTTGGAGGTCGACTTGCTCCACGGAGATGATGCTGGCAATGGGAAGCTAGTTTTCGTTACCATCCACCGGGGGCATATGCGCCTGCTTCTTCCACAACAGCCCCAGCAGCTGTTGGATCACCTGAGGACTGCAGACAAGGTCACCAGGGAACTTCAGGTTGAACATTGGAGGGTGATCTTGGACCAGAGCAAAGGGGAGGATCAGATGGTTCCAGCCAAGTCCCCCGCCTGCACAAGATGCCAGCAACAGCAGCAAAGGCCTTATCGTGTTGGTGAAGGATTCCCGTTGCCACCGGCTTCATTTGAGTCCTGCTTGCAGGATGATCCACAGGCTCTTCAAAACAGCGGTGTGCCTCTGCGAAAAAGGCTCGCCTTCGCCTATGGGCCAATTGGTCAAGAGGTGTACGCTGGATGGGCAGGATGGACCAAGGGGCTTCAGTACCAGGGGATCCCGTGCGGAGAACCCATTGAATACTATGAGGACCCGATCGAGCAAAAGGGCTTTAAGCCGCAGCATGATACCCGTGACCCGAAGGTCCGAGAACGATTGCTGGGATTAGCTGGTGCTCCACCAGGGCCCGATGTCCCCAACACTTGGCAGCTTGGAGTCGTTTGTACTTCCTTCTGCGACCACCAGCTGAAGAACGGTGGCAGCAGGACCTGGCAACGCCCACAAGGCGACGGCACTCGTCCCTCTGAAGTTCAAGGAAATGAAGACGCAGAGTTCGCAGCCGAACTTTGTACGGTTCTGGCGGACAACGGAAGAGTCTTCGCATTGGAGAGTAGCGCGCCGTCGGGCCGCTACCCCAAGATATGGGACCTGCCTTGTATGCAGAGGCTCCGCCGCCGCACCGGCGCAAAAATTGTCTCTATGGCTATGTGCGCTTGGGGTCTGGGACCGCCTGAGACTGAGGAGGGCCTGTTTCATCGCAAGCATTCTTGGTGGCTGGTCTCCCCAGAACTCTACCCATGGGCCTTGTTATTCCTTGGTAGGCAGTGCCCAGGAGTCGGCCCGACTCACCAGCACGCACCCTTGAAGGGACCCAGTCCAATTCCTCAAGTACCTCTCACTCGACTGGCACAGCAATACGCACCAGCTTTGTGTGCAGCCTGGGGTCTGGTAGTCCGAGCAGCCTTTGAAGAATGGAGCTGGACAACATATCTGCAAGAGCACAGCGTGCTCAAAGCCCTAGAGAAATGTTGGACCGAACTGGACGCACCCCCTTGGCCGGCTGATCCAGCCAATACGTTGGAGCGAACCCTTGGCCAACATTTGGCACCGGTGGTTGCTGGCCAAGCGGATGGACCAGGCCTCCCACATGGCTACACCTGTTCAGGATGCGAACTCCAACAGATGGTCTACCCTTGTACGTTTTGTGGGGGGAGGGGTCTGTTTCCGATCCCGAAAAGCAAGCTGAGGGGCAGGGCACAAGGGCAGGCAGCGTCGACGACGCCAATGGCCAAAGCACTGCTGAGAAATACTTGGAGGTATGCCAGAGTGCTTACAGCAAGGAGGCCGTGAGAAAAGCCACAGAGGCAGGAAATGCGTTGTTGAGGGCCGCCGGCTCGGTGCCAAGAGCAGCTGAATTAGTCAACAAAGCGAGGCTGAGGAAGTATGGGGAACACTTCCAGAAGGCAAAGGAAGGAGCATTGAAAGGGCTCAGCCCCCTACACGAGCAATACTTGAAAGACTGTGTGCTCAAGGGCGTGCCCAGCCGAGCTAAGAGTACCCCCAAGAGAGAGAAGGCCCGAAACCACGGCTCCGTCACGGGGCACGAGGAAGAGATGCTGCAGAAGGCATGGAAAGACGCATCTTATGGGGCGGTACTTCTGTGTTCCACAGAGACCGAGGACCAAGAAGAAAATCGGCAAATCGACCAGATACTGACCGAGAGCAAGGTGGCCGAGAGCCCTCTCGGCCGAGAGCCCTCTCGGCCGAGTGCCCAAGCAAAACCCCGACAGAACCATCTCAGCGGAAGGTCGTCCCATCAACGATATGCGAGCCAGGAATGCTTCGGGCTCCAAATACGACCACCCACCCGCCGCTCAGCCTAGGCACAGAGCAGTGGTCAGGCAAAGCCTTTGGTGGAGGGTGCGACACCCGAAGGTTCCACAGAGGTGTGCGAAACGCGATGTGCCAAGGGCTTTCAAGTGGCACTTCCTCAAGCCGGGCGATGTCCCTGAATTCTGCACGAGGATTCTAGGTGTGCTGATCCTGAGTCTGGTGATGGTGTTCGGTTGGGTAGGAGCGCCAGGGGAGTTCGTGATATGGGCCACCGCAGCCCAAAAGCACCACGGGTCGTTCCGACCATGCCATCCTCAATTCAACGATGTGGTTCCCTACACCAGCCGATGGCTGATGGATGACGGCGTGGTGGTAGAGCCACTAGTGGGGAATAGGATCCAGAGATCCCTGTCAGCAATGGATGCAGCTATGGTATCAGTCTGGGGCCCTGGAGCCATCAATCTCGACAAGCTCGCCGAAGAAGGCACCCCGGCAAAATCCCAGCTCCTGTGGGGCCTCCACCTAGACTTTGAAGAACAGGTTGTGGTCCTCCCGGAACCGAAGCGAATAAAGGCGAAGTATCTCCTAAGAGAGCCTCAGCTTCAAAGGGGGTGCCAACGAGTTCGTACCAAGCTGCTCCGAGAACTGGCAGGGACAGCGCAGTATTGGGCCGTCTCCGCTCCGGAGATTGCACCCTATCTACCAGTCTTTTACAGGCTCCTGCAGCAGGAAGTAGGCGATCATGAATGGGTGAAACCCAGGGGCTCCGAGAGTGAGCTAGAGGCTGCCTGGGCTGAGTTCTGGGATGCGCTCGATTGGGTTCGCCTCCAGATGGAAAAGCCTTGGGGAACCAGTTTCAGAGCAGCTTTCGGCAAGCTCCTGCCGTTAAGGGAAAGGCTCGCACTCCCTGGCATGGCCGCTTCGGCCCGATTCGTTGGAGGAGATGCCACGCTAACCAGGCTCGGAAGCACTGATTGGAAGGATAGATGCTACCACATGGCGGACAGCAGCAGATACGTCAGGGCCGTGAGCGAAGTCGTAGGGGGCGGAGATCACTTGGAGATCATCGGAGTGATGGAGCTTCTGACGTTCATTGTCCTGGCAGCGGCGCGGAAGGAAACCTGGCAGGGGCAACTGATCCTTTATGTGAGTGACAACATGAATGTCAAAGCATGGTTACGTACCAGGCGCGCTTCAAACAGATACGTGAGGGCGCTCTTGCTGCTGCTCCAGCGGCTCGAAGCGGAGAATAGCTTCACTGTCGATGGAGCGTACGTCCGTACCTACCACAATACTCTCAACGACTGGCTGACAAGGGAGGATGAAGACAAGGTCCATGCGGAAATGGAAAGCAGTGGCTGGACCCGCCTCGAGCTCAATGAGGACTGGGAAGGACTCCTGCGAGAAGCCATGCGCCCCACGTTGAAGCTACCAGGGGAGAAGGGCCCGAGTGCAGCTTTAGCCATTCAGCTGGCCAACGAACAGCAAACCGTGCATGCCTTCCCCGCCAAGATCGAACCAAAGCCATTCAAAGGGGGACTCCACCAAATCCGGCTAGGGTCGGAACTACTGACGTTCGAGCTGGGGTGGGCCAAGGGCGGAGGATCGATCGCAAGCCAGGCGCAAGCTGACTGGATCGTCTGTGTTCTCACTCAAGACCCAAAAGGGCGGGAGGCAGACATCCTTCTAAAAACCCTCGCCAGAACTGATTGGAGAGGACGACTTATCGTTGACCAGCCCAGGGAGCTCTCTGAAACCAGCCGAAATCGCCTGATGCAGCTTCAGGTTCAATGGGGTCAGGCACAAGTGGTCGACTATCAGACTTCACACCACGGCAGCTTCTTTGCCAGGGCCAGAAGACTTTGGCTTTTTGGAGGAACGGCCGACGAAAAGGAGAGAGTTCAAGCATGGCGAGTTGCACAAGTCAACGAGTGTCAGATGTTACCTCTGCGATCCGCAGAGGAGTCAGGTAAGGGATTATGCCCGCCCGACTACCTTTTCACGAGAGAACCAAACCTCATCCCCACCGGAGACAAGTGGCTTCCAAAACCAGTCGGCCACTTGGTTGACGTGCGCGCCGGCAGCAGGCACCTGGTCCATAGCACACGGGGCCCAGCTTGCGGACCTAGGCTCACAGGTGAGCGTCTCAAGATCCCAGGAGGCACCCTGTTGGAAGATGGGACGGGTCTGGTCCGTCCTCTCCTCCCAGAAGAGGTGTGGGAAATGCAAGGGGGCCTCGCAGAGGATTGGCGTTCCGCCGACTCGAAGAGAAAGGATCGCATGATAGCAGCTGCAGTCCGGGAGCCAGGCTGGCAAGTGGCTATGGGTCTCATGCAGGCTCTGACTGGAACCGATGGGAAGGCAGGAGTCCTGGACCCCGATGAGATCCAAGCCCACGAGCAACTAGAGGTCTGGCTGCGAGCGTGGGGGAGGAACCCGAAGGCTCCCTCTTCCGAGCTTTTCCTTACTTCGTGGAAAGAGCCACGTGTGGCAGTGGCACCCACTCATGAGCTCGTGGGAGCGACAACCCAGGCGAAAGCAGGCGGAGGCAAACGCACCACCGTGAAGCCAGCACTCAGTGAAGTGGAGAGGCTGGTCCAGCCCGCATCCAAAAGAGGCGGG